AGCAACTTGCCCAAAATCACACAGCTAATAAGTGGTAAAGCTAGGATTTGAACCCAGACAGCCTGGTTTTGGAGCCCAGGTCTTTAACCAGCCTCTCAAAGAAGATTCTTTTAGCCCTGTATGGCACCACAAAGGGAATAATATGAAAAAAAAAAAAAACTAGAAAAGGAAAAAGGAGAGAAAGAAAAAAAGTGCATATGGTGGGAAGGGGTAGAATGTCACTAACAACTGCTCAATAACATTCTGGTGTAAGCTGCTGCCTTTTACTCCTGCCTAGATGTTGTTCTTCATCTGTTTGGTCTTTAGCCTGAAACTTTTTGTGTTGAATTCTATTTTCTAAATAACTATGAGAACTTCAAGCCTATTTAATTCCTGCCCATCCTTCAAAGCCAAGTGCAGGTCCCACCTCCTCCATAAAGCCTCCATATCTGTCCAGTCTACAGTAAATTTTAAAATTTTTACAGACTTATTGTCTATAATGTTCATTTGGCTCTGAGTTGCATTCTTAATTAGTCTTGTGTGCATTTATGTCTCATCTTACCAACCATACTGTAAACTCCCTAGGGGAAGAGACTAAAACTTCTACTTCTCTTGCATCTTGCATCCCCCATAATGTCTAGCACAGTGTCTTGCAACTAATAGACACAGTAAATATTTGTTGGTTGACTGAATGATTGAAAAATGTCAGAGTCTGCATCAAATCTTGGTTAACCTATGCACCATTTAGTGAAGAGCTATGCACTTAATGTGTACTCAGTAAACATTAACAGTGATTACAAAATCATTCAAGAAGTCTTTATGGAGTTTCTACAATGTGTAGAGAACAGTGCTGTGAGGATAGAAATGAAATAAAGGAACACAGCTTCTACCTTCGAAGAGTTCAGATTAGTTCTCTCTTACTACCTCAATGCATACTATCTCCCTTCTCTGAATTCCTGCTGCATTTGAAGTCAGGATTAGTAATCACTCACTTGTTGTCTCCCCGAATTCATTTGTGAGCTCCTTGAAGGAAATGTATAGCACTGTGCTGGGAACATAATAGAATCACAGAATTGAAAGGGACATTAGAGCTTTCCTATTGTCAACCTTCCCATCCAGCACAAGAACCCCTTTTGCAACAGCCCTGATCCAGCTTTTATTTAATTATATGCTTCCAGTATCAGGAATTAACCTATATAGGAAACACAGGAGGAAGATCAGTTTCAGGGGCTATATAATGAGTTGGATTTTTGACTACGTGCAGTTTAATGGGATTGTTAGGCAACCAGGTGGAGACAAATAGCTGAAATTCAAGTCTCAATCTCAGGAGAGAGGTCAGGGCTGAAGATAGAGATTTAGGAGTCTTGGCATGCATGTACGTTGCAGTTGAAACACTAAGATTGAGTAAGACTGCCAAGGACAAGAGAAGAAAGGCACCAAGGACAAAGTCTCTGAGAATTCCTCTACCTGGAAAATGAGAGGAAAAATCAATGAGGTGGAAGAACTGGAAGACAAAGGAGAGAGTTGTAAGGAGAGGCTGGTCACCAGAGTCAATGGAGGATGGAGCAATGAAGTTGGAGAGGATAAGACTGAGATACATTTATTTGATCTGGTAATTAAGAAAACAGACCTTTGGGGTGCCTGGGTGGCTCAGTCAGTTAAGTGTCTGCCTTCGACTCAGGTCATTATCCCAGAGGCCTGGGATCAAGCCCCGTGACCAGTGAGTGGCTCCTTGCTCAGCAGGGAACTTGCTTCTCCCTCTCTCTCTGCCTGCTGCTCCCCCTGCTTATGTGCTCTCTCTCTCTCTCTCTGTCAAATAAATAAATAAAATCTTTAAAAAAATAAAAAATAAAAAAAAATAAAAAGGGTGGGGGGAAGACATGTATATGTGTATATATTTATACTTATGAATAAAATGTTTATTCATAATAACAGTGATTGACTTTGGAGTATAAGACTAAACAACTGGAATGGCAGGGCTACATTTTTCATTGAACAATTTGAATTTATCACATGCACGTATTACATTTTCAGTTGAAAAGTGAATTTAAGTTCCTGTAAAGAACAAGAGAAAAGCACCTCCAAGGTATGCCTTCCTCAGCTTTTCCCATCCAAATCCTCTCTGTTCTACAAGTCCCAGATCAAGTCCCATTTCATCCAGGAAATCCTTCCTGAGAACACCAGCTTAATTTACTGGTCTCCCTCTCCTCTACATTCCTATGACATTTATACTTTAGTAGTGCCTGACACACTATTGTTTTATGTATCATGTTAGTCTTGCTACTTAGCAAAACTCTAATCTCATTGAAATCAGGAACCGTGACTACTTTTGCATTGCCCTAAATGCAGACTATGCGAGTTACTCAGTAAATACTCAATTGATTAATAGAGGCCCTATGTATTTGTTTACCCTCTCCTTGTCTAGAAAGTACAGCAGAAATAGCAATTACATTAAGTTGGCTTACCATCGCCTGCTCCCTGACATAAATCAGCTTATTCCCACATCTTAATCATTAGGCTCTAATGGCGACATGAACTACCAACAAACAAAAAGCCCTAATCCTCACTCCTGTCTACAGATTCTAAATAGAAACGGCCAACCACATGTATTAATACTGACTCTATTTCCCACCAGCCAATTCATATCAGCAGATGGAAATCAAAGGAACTAGTTTCTCTCCTTTCTCCACAACTGCCTCAGGGCAGGAAAAGAATATCTTCGAGCTATGCTAGTGCTTCACACAGTCCTCACTACATCATGCTTTTGGAAATTGTCTTTCCAGGATCCAGTTCTAGGTAGAGGTCATCAAAAGCTAAATAACTAACCAACTTACATTAGTTACAACTCTACCCAGGATCAAGGTCCAAGGAATGTTAATAAGCTGAAGGAGAGTGAGATACAGGTGAAGTAATATTTTATTACAACCTGTTCTTTAGGAGACTAAATAAAAAAACTGGAAACAGTGGTTTCTTTGGAAATGGGAGCCTCTAGAGGGGCAGAGGAAGGGAGGAAGACTTAGTTTTTACAGTGTATCTTTTTTTGTATCTTTTGAATTTTGTACCATGTGCATGTATTAACCATTCAAAATAAAACATTATAGAGAGCATTCTCAGAATCCTGCAAGAAATCTGCATGGGTATCAAATCATCGCATGATATACCTTGAACTTATACAATATTACATGTCAATAACATCTCAATAAAGCTGGGGGGGAATAATCCTGCAAGAAAAAAAAAAGTGCTTTCGTATCACGTGATTCTAGGTTTCCACCAGACTTCATTACAAATAACGTGATCCCCAAACAGCAGAACCTTAACTAGTACAGAAGCCAACAGAAGGACCAAAGAAAAGGGGGGAAAATACTGAGTAGATTCTTCCAAGACACAGCGAAACCACCCACTGCCATTTTGTGGACTTCCTCCTTTGACTCACAAAAATCCTGTTCTTCCCCTACCCCCACAGGATGATGACAATAATGACCTTTTATCTCAGCACCTAGCCATCTAAGGAAGGGGCTACTGTGTACTAAGTAAGATAGTCTCCCAACTCCAACCTATAAATTGTATGAGGAAGACAGGATTGTGTAGTACAGGATACAGAGAGTCCTTTGGCTCTGATCAACACAAAGTCAAGGGAAAGGAGAGAAAGAAACAAAGTTCAAGTCCACAGGACAACTGACATTTGAAAGTTCCACACACATCATGTGAAGTCACCAGGAAACCTCTCCAGACTCCTCATTTCTTGGGAGGGTGGGAGGGGGGGAATTCTTTCCTGAGCAAAATAAAAGAGAACAGCTTCAGAAATATTTACTATACAAAGAAAAAAAAGTCAGTGCCATCTGCTTCTACCATACATAATGCCTAACTCCCAAAGCCCATTCTTTGAGTCTCATGCTTCCTATAATGCCTACCATGATCAACCACCTAAAATAGCAATTAAAAACCAATTATTTCAACTTTTCTCCAAAACTGAATTCAATTAATATATTAAAAGCCTAGATAGCCATACAAATTAACATAAACAATACAAATTAACTCAAACCTACAGAACTAGGAACTGCCATCAACCCCATCATCATTGTACAATTAAAAATTGTGAAAAGGATGGATTAAAAGCTTAATGGTAAAAAAAAATGGTAAAAAAAATTTTGCACACTAAAGTTTTGCAACTAAGCACAGCCAAAGAGACTAAAGTGTAGTGGAAAGAGTATGATGAGGGGCTTTGGGGTCAGACAGACCTGGGTTCAAATCCCAGCCCCACTTATTAGCTATGTGTATTTGGGAAAGTTACTAAAACTGCACTCCTCCTTAGTTTCCTACCTGTAAAATGTCATTTTTGTAAGGATTTAGAAACTAAAATCTAGTTCAGTGCCTGGCACATAGTAGGCACTAGATGAACAGTCTCTGTTGTTATTAGAATGCCTTAAGACGAGAGCTATTTCAGGGCGCCTGGGTGGCTCTGTTGGTTAAGTGTCTGACTCTTGGTTTCAGCTCAGGTCATGATCTCAGCGTCTTGCAATCAAGCCCCAGGTCAGGCTCTACACTCAGCATGGAGTCTGCTTGGGACTCTCTCTCCCTCTCCCTCTGGGCACCCACATGCTCTCTCTCTCTCTCAAATAAATAAATCTAAATAAATAAAAGAGAGCTATTTCATTCATAGTCCCTAAGGCTCTTGGGTAATGCATGGAGACATTGTCTCTAAAACCCCACAGTAGAGAATCCTTACACTGAACAAGTTATGCCCAGTCTTTCTCAAGTAATTAAGTTTTCTACCACTAACAGTTCCCAGCTTTTATTGTATTTTCAGGGATCTAACTTCCATTCTTCCCCAAAGAGATGGTTCCAAGTAGTTCTTATAAAGGAGAGTTTTTTTCCAATCTTTGCTTCGATTTTCTTTCTTCAGTTTGGACTTGGCCAAACTTGGAATTTGGAGAGCATCATTTCTCAATTAAATTTCAAAGCCCAGGCAGGAGACACACTCTCATTTAATTCATTCATTCATTCAAAAATGAAAGCACATACACTCTTTTAGGTCTTCAAATGCTGTTTGAGCAGCATGCTGTCCATAGAGAATATTCTGGCCCTCTAGTCTGAGAAAAAAACATAAGGAAAATTAGAAAATGGTTCTCCAACTTTTTTGCCTGTAACCATTCAACTGGGCAAAAGAACCTGCAAACCACTACTGTATCCGCACATTCCATCCTTGCAGTGTGGACTAAGAACTAGAGAATAAAGTCCTCTGCAGTGCACACTGGAAGAAGCCACTCCTGAAATGTCCTGAAATATTAAATTAACCACAGACCACGGTCTTAACCCAAAAAGTTAATCTACAACAGAAAGGTCAAATGACCATATGTATACAGAAGCTCAAATGGGAGCCAGTACTGAAACAAACATCCTGGATACTTCAAATCTAAAGGATCAGCACAGGATGAGAGCACCGACTGACAATCCACCAATCCCCTTGCAAGACCAGGCTTCACCATGAGACACAGCATGTGGTACCTGAGAAAACTTAAGCACAAAACATTTCTCTCTTTCAGATGCTAATTCTACACAAGTCTGGGGAGCACTCAATCTCAAGGAGACTCCCTTTCTTATTTCTGCTCTACCAAGCCCACTGTCTCCCTTTCCTGGAGTCTATCTCCCCTTTAATCCAGGCTTTGCTTAACTCCATCATTTCAGGGAGACCTCATTAGGAAGAAACCGGGGCGTCCTGCCCTCCCTCTTTAGACTGACTTCCCACAACCTAGTTTAGTTATGGGACCCAGAGATGTATCACCTTGGCTTTCCATCCCCCCCAGCCCTCTGCCACTTTTCCTTCCCTCCTTCTGTCGCTACAGTCAGGATTCCTATTTCCTTTCATTCCTCACTGTAATCTTCTCCATCGTCCCCACCCTTATCCAGCCATGCTTCACTTCTTGCTCATAGGTACTTATTTTCCCTCGCCCCAGTCCGATGTCCCCCTCAGGAGTTTTCCGTATCCTAGGGCCACAACCTAGTCTGGAGACCTCTCTCCAAACCTATGAAGCCCCTAACCCCCAAATGACCCCTCCAAGCGTCTCGGCCAATGTTAATCGTCCCCATGGCAGCCCCCCCCCGCCCTCCCCGCCCAGCCGCCTGGTCCTCCCTCAGCTGTCTCCCTCACCCCGTGACTCACCCGCATGCGAACCTCATAGGTGGTGAAGCGCGCGCGGCCCACGCCCACCGTCTGTGGATTAAAGATGTCGATCTCCAGGAAGTTACTTGGCGGCCCGTAAGCGTCAGTCAGGTCCTGCGGCTTCGAGTTAAGGCGCCGAGTGTCAGCCACTGCCGTGTCCGACATCTTTCCGAAGGAGAGACCGGGACCGGGGAAGGGGGTGGGGGACAGAGGCCGGAGGCAGGAGCGCGCACAGCCCCTCCCGTTTGCAAAATAACCAGCCAACCCACAGACAGCGGCGCCGCGCACGCGCGCCCACGCACGCACGCACGCACGCGCACGTTCCCTTGGCCCCGGGCCCGGCACCCTGAATAGCGGCCACGCTGAGGGTTGAGTCCCGTACATTGGAGGCCTCGTTCAGGCTTCCGGGCGGTGTTTGTGGCCGCCCCGGAACCTGCATCTCCGATACGCAGCGCCCCATATCCTGGCAAGCACCATAGGCGGAATCCGCCAATCGTTGCTCCCCAAACCCAAGAAATGGTCTTATACCGTGTATCTATCGGCTGCGGGCACTGCCCCGCAAACTGGGACCTTGCAGTGATAGGCCGAAGCCCCGTGACCTGAATAAGTCAGGGTTTTGCGCGAAAATAGAAGGGTGTTCTCCGGAGGGTGGGGTTCCAACAATAATACTAAGAATCTAGAACGCAGCCCTGCCACTTGGTGCCACTGATGGTTTCAATTCGTTCCACATGCAACTGAGCATTCAGCACCACGGTGCCAGGGAAGCAGCGAGGGTGGGGTAAACGTGATTGCTCATTCTCACTTTTCAGGAAAATTGGGGCATATCTTCATCCTGCACTTGTTACCACATAAAGCTCACCCCAGGTGTACTCAGATATATTTCTTAGCAAATTGAGGGCATTTATTTCATACCTCTGCCTCTACTCTGCAGAACTCCATACTTGACACTGCTCGGAGGTTGCTTGCAGCCCATAATGGAGATAGAATACATGTCTAAATGAGAAAATATCTATAGACATATTGATATTTATGTGACTAATTTACACATGGCCCACATGAAGGGTGGTGATTTTAGGTCATCCTTTCTCCCCCCTGCACCTGCCTCTTCTGCTATTTCCCATGTCACTGATGCCTGAAATCCTTTCGACAGAGTACAAGACCCTATAATTTCACAGTTAAGTTACTTAATTCAATTTAACTGATAGCTACTAAGCAACCACTTATGTGCCAGGCACCATGCTAAACACTAAAGACCTAGAGTAGAATAAGGGAGTCTCTGCCCTCAAAGAGTTAACATTCTTTACTAAAAGAATGGAAGACAAGTAAATAAAACTAATGACAAATACAAAAGAAGTGAGTGTTCCAAGCAGCACATAGGACATGAATAATTGGAGGAATTAGGGAAAGCTTCCTGGAGGAGGAAACATCTGAGTTTGACAGACATGAAAAGGCATAAAGGGGAGGCGCCTGGGTGGCTCAGTCGTTAAGCGTCTGCCTTCCGCTCAGGTCATGATCCCGGGGTCCTGGGATCGAGCCCCGCATCGGGCTCCCTGCTCTGCCGGAAGCCTGCTTCTCCCTCTCCCACTCCCCCTGCTTG